GAGAGAGAGAGAGAGAGAGAGAGAGAGAGAGAGAGAGAGAGATTGTTAGAGAGAGAGATTGTTAGAGAGAGAGAGAGAGAGAGAGAGAGAGAGAGAGAGATTGTTAGAAGAGAGAGGGTGAATGAATTTATTCTAGTAACATTTAATATGCTGTGTACTTTAAATTCTCTAGAATGCTCTCTAGAATGCTAAAAGTTATTAACTTAATAACCTTTTCTGGTTGGTTATAGAATAAACATTCTAATGCATATTGGTTTTTTTGCCAACATTTTTTTGTTTTGTATTGGGAATGAAACCTAGGGCCTTGACTGTCAGGCAAGTACTTAACCACTACAGTACAGCCTCTTCCCCCACCCCAACTCTCACCCCCATGTATGTTTAGAGTTTCTCTGGCTGGCCTTAAATGCTGCTGCTGGGAGTCTCAGCTTCCCAAGTAGCTATGTCCCCAGATCTAGCTTCTTTTCTTTTGAAAATGATATATTTTCATCTTAGCCAGATTTGGAAGTGTACATCCTTAATCCTGGCACTGCAAGCAGAACCCTGAGTGAATTCAAGGCCAGCATGGTCTACACAGAAGATTTGAGCACTGTTACACAGAGAAACCCTATCTAGAAAAATGAACAAAAAAATGTTTTGGATGTGTTTTTCCCCCTCCCCCACAGTACTCCCCTCCCTACCCACCCAAATTTGTGCTTGTGTTCTCTCTTGCACACACAAAAGTGAAAAAAACAATTGAAAGACTAATAGGAAAAACAACGTTAAAAAAAAAAAAAACAGAGTTACTCATTAAAAATATGTTAGTGTGGGGCCAGAGATCAATCCTTTGACAGTTAATAACACATACTGCTCCTCTTAGAGGCGATCCAAATTTGGTTTTCAGTCCCTGTGTTTGGTAGCTTGAAATGGTATCTGATTCCAACTCCAGGGAATTTAATCCTCTTCTGGCCTCCAGGCTGTCAAGTCAGGATACCCACACATACAATAAAATAGATTTTATCTAAAAATTGTGTGTGTGCGCAAATGAGTGGTAGGTATTTAACTCAGGACTTCATGTATACCACATGCTACCTATATACTGTTGTCACTGAAATATATACCTAACACCCTCAAAATGCTTTTAGAAGGACTTTTATTGACATTTTTTTCTTTTCCCTCCAATGGTTAGGAAACCAGCAGAGTTGTTCACATTATGGATTTTCAGCGAGGAAAAAACTTGAGATACCAACTATTGCAACTGGTGGAACCATTTGGAGTCATTTCAAATCATCTGATTTTAAATAAAATTAATGAGGTATGAGTGGGAGTATCAGTTATAGCACTCATATATTAAAGAAATTGAATGGTTTTAGATTAATGGAGAATTTCATGTAGATTTGAAATATCAGAGGAAAAGATATATCCTAATGTTAAGTAGGTTTTTAGTAAGTGTATAGTTTGTGAAACCTAAGATGTCATTGATTATTAAAGATGCTTCCTATTAAATGATTAAGTGCAATAATATAAAACATAAAAATTGGGGTTAACATTTTTAGAAATTTCTTTTTGTGTAATTTTAGGCATTTATTGAAATGGCAACCACAGAAGATGCTCAGGCTGCAGTGGATTATTATACAACCACACCAGCGTTAGTATTTGGCAAGCCAGTGAGAGTGCATTTATCCCAGAAGTATAAGAGAATAAAGGTTAGTCATACCCTTTCATTTGTCCTTAATCTCTAGGTTATATGTAATCAGTTTAATTTATCACTTTTGTATTTGCTAAAAGCTAGACTGTTGATAATAACAGCATGCTTGCCAACCTTTAATTTGACTTTCAATTATTTCCTCTTTTTTTGTTTTTCTTCTTAAGAAACCTGAAGGAAAACCAGACCAGAAGTTTGATCAAAAGCAAGAACTTGGACGTGTGATACATCTCAGCAATTTACCACATTCTGGCTATTCTGACAGTGCTGTCCTCAAGCTTGCTGAGCCTTATGGGAAAATAAAGAATTACATATTGATGAGAATGAAAAGTCAGGTAACACAAATGGGAAGGGTTTTAAGAGATCTAGGACTGATGTCAGTAATTGAAATACATTAGTTTGTGGGATACACACACACACTCGCACACATTTATTTATTTATTTATTTTGCTGTTAGATGCTCATGATCAAGCATAAGTTTTGCAAGTACCAAGTGGAAGGAAAGTAAAGTGTTTTCTCTTGCCATGATAGACAAATACTTTTCCTTTAGAGTTTTCTTCCTAAAGATCTTACACATATACAGACACCCACCTTTGACGATTTAGTTAGTGGTTGTGGGGTTTGTTTTGTTTTTTAAGTAGGATTTTTCTAGATAGCTCTTGCTGGCCTCAAATTAAATATGTAGCTCAGGCTGGCCTCGATCTTGAAACAATCACTTTTCTCTTGGCCTCTAGAATGCCATACTTATAAGCATGAGCTATTGTGACAACCAAATTTAGCAGCTGAATTCACTTAACTTATATTTGAATTTTTTATGTAAAGAATTCAGAGGACCAGGTGAAACTTAGAAATACTAAGCTTGGGGTTCAACCACCAGCAATCCCCAGAATCGGTCAGTAGAGTACTGGATGGATTTTTTTGGTTGTTTGTTTGTTTGTTTGATGCAGAGTGTACAATAGCTCTGCTGAAGATTTCGTGATGTAGAATAGCAGTTTTAGTACAGTTCTGTCAAAAAATAACATTGTTGGTTTTTCTCCCTCCAGGCATTTATTGAGATGGAGACCAGAGAAGATGCAATGGCAATGGTTGACCATTGTCTGAAGAAGGCACTTTGGTTTCAGGGGAGATGTGTTAAAGTTGACTTGTCTGAAAAATATAAAAAACTAGTGCTGAGGGTATGTAGTCCTTAATAGTTTTAGGTGACAAGGTCTAACTGTGTAAGCCAATCTACCCCCAAGCTACTGGATGCAACGGATATTACTGCTTTGGCTTTGTGAACAGCTAAGATGATTCATATGCCTGCCAAAAGACAGAAAAGGTTTCTGTTCATCTTTTGGGGAGGAGAGGGGAAGGATGGACAAGGTTTTGCTAAAAACCCTAGCTGGCCTCAAACTTGCAGAAGACTTGTGTACACTGCTGTCCTTCATGGTATTTATTGGTCTAGTTTAATCATTTTGTACTAAGTACAAGATTTGGGGCTGGAGTTTGGGGTCAGCAGTTAAAAGCACTTGTTGTTGTTCAAAAGGATTAGATTTTGTACCATCCAAGTCATGTGATCTACATCTGCCAGTAACTGTTTTCTGGCCTCTGGGGACCCCTGGACTAAAGTGTCAACACTCACACAGACAGGTAGACACAAATAAATCTTAATGGTTGGAGAGAATGCCTGGTGTTCTTCCAGAGAAACCAGCCATCACCCATATGGCTCAGAACCACTCTTGTTTCTAAGACAGAATCTGACTGTCTTCTAATCTCTATGGGCATCAGGCATGCATGTCATGCACTCAAATACAGGCACATTAGCACAAATAGACAGAAACTTTATAAAAATGCAAAACCATATAAATAAGAGAAATTTGGGCCGGGCATGGTGCATCCACCATTAATTTCTAGTACTTGAAAGCAGAGACATGGATCTCTGAGTTCAAGGCCAGCCTAGGTTCCACATAATGAGAAGCTGCCTCTCCCAAAAACAAACAAACAAAAAACCAAGCTAGGTTGGTGGTGTATGTATGTCTGTGTCTGGCTTCTTGCCTGAGTGTTTTTTACACAAGGTGTGTTTGTAACCCAAACTACTTTGTAGACCAAGCTGGCCTTGAATTCAGAGATGCCTTGAGTGCTAAGTGCAAGCATGCTTGTCCCCCCCCCCCCAAAGCATCTTCTATTTTTCTTAGCTGTTTAAAGTTTATTAGAGTTGTACTATCAAAATGTTTTGTTGCCCACTTAGTTTGGTGATGGAGATGAACTTCTAAATTCTAGGCAGATTTTCTTGGGTGTGGTTGTACAGATTGAGGAATCTAAATTGATTATATAACAGAGGGTTGCAGAATGTTACTTGATTGATATAGTCTACAAGTGGGTAAGATTCTAATATGTTTAATTTCTCAAAACTTTTTTATCTTTTAGATTCCTAACAGAGGCATTGACTTACTGAAAAAAGACAAATCCCGGTAATTTCATTTTACGTATGTCTGTATATTACATAATAATTACTAGTCTTTTTGCTATGCCAGAGCAACTTCAGAAAAGAACAGAACTTGGCTTACAAGTTCAGAGATATAGTTCATCATGGGTAGGAAATAATGGCAAAAAAGAATTTGAGGAAATTGGTCACATTGCATCTGTAGTCAGAACATACTGAAAGATAATGCTTCCATTCAGTGTACTTTCTCCTTTTTATTCAATCAGGGACTCCAGGTAGTTCATGTAATGGTTTCACCCACATTTAGGATAGATTTTAGCTTCTGCTGACCTGATCTAAAATCTTATGAAATTGACAATCAGTATTAACCATTCATACTGACATTAGGCTTTTATTTTGCAACTCGGTGAACCAAGTGTGCATCTGTCTTATTTCAGAAAAAGATCCTATTCTCCAGACGGAAAAGAATCCCCAAGTGATAAGAAGTCCAAGACTGATGGTTCACAGAAGACTGAGAGTCCAGCTGAGGGTAAAGAACAAGAAGAAAAGTCAGGCGAAGATGGTGAAAAAGACACTAAGGATGACCAGGCAGAACAGGAACCCAGTATGCTTCTTGAGTCTGAAGATGAGCTGCTTGTGGATGAGGAAGAAGCAGCAGCTCTCCTAGAAAGTGGTAGTTCAGTGGGTGATGAGACTGACCTTGCTAATTTAGGGGATGTGTCGTCCGATGGAAAAAAGGAGCCTTCAGATAAAGCTGTGAAAAAAGATGCAAGTGCTTCAGCAGCATCCAAGAAAAAACTTAAAAAGGTAAATTTTTCATTTATGTTTAAATTAGAACACTAGGTCAGATCAATTTTTCTTTTTTTTTTTTCCCTCAAAACAGAGGTACAATTAAAACATTTAAAAAGGAAACTACAATAGAAACATTTCCTTATAGCTACAGGAAAAAATAGTCAACTTTTAAAGAAAACATAACTAAAGTACAAGAAAGACTTTTGAAGTACATAAGCTCTTTTGTCTTACAGTGGTAATTATTAAGTTCTGGTATGTTTGTTAAGACATATTTATGTAATCTCAGTACTTATGGAGGTTGGGGAAATAGACTTAGAAGTTTGAGGTTCAGCTCTGCAAATAGTGAGACTCAGACAACTACAAAGATAGTGTTACAAAACTGGGGGCGGGGGTGCATGCCAGTAATCCCAGCACCTGGGAGACAGAGGCAAGTGTGGATCTCTTTTGGGGTCAAGGCCAGCCTGGGCTACAGAATGAGTTCTAGGACGTTTAGGGCTGTTATACAGAGAAACCCTGTCTCAAAAAAGAAAAACAACAAAAAGATAGGGTTGTGAGTTTGAAATTGAGTGACTCAAGTTACTTTAACCATTTAAAAGTTGGTTTTGAGTGCCAGATTCAATTGCACATGCATAACTCCAGGAAAGCAGTAGAGGCATGCATATCTCTGGGAATTCCAATCCAGACAGGCCAGGGATACATCCTGGCTCAAAAGCCTTATTTAAAGTAAAGAAAGAAGCCAGTCGTTGGTGGTGCACTCCTTTAATCCCAGCCTGGTCTACAAGAGGTAGTTCCAGGACAGCCTCCAAAGCCACA